GCGGTGTCAGCAGGCGGCAAAGATGAATGCCAAAATTCCGCCGGTTTCATGGCCCAAACCTGAGCATCCTTGGTCCAGGATACATGTCGACTTCGCTGGCCCAATAAATGGAACTATGTATTTAATTGTCGTCGACGCCTTTTCTAAATGGCCGGAAATCAGCCCCGTTATGCCGCCCACTACAACTAAGACTATACAGCTCCTAACTGAAATTTTCTCACGAAATGGCATACCAGATGTGATCGTATCCGACAATGGCTCTCAATTCACCTCTTCCCAATTCCAGAATTTCTGTCAACGGCTAGCTATTAAACACTTACGCTCGCCACCATACCACCCGCAATCGAATGGGCAGGCGGAAAGGTTTGTGGATATGTTTAAAAGAGCACTGCTCAAGTCAAAAGGGGAGAGGACGCCAGCCGAAACGTTACAAAATTTCTTGTACGCCTATCGGACAACACCAAATGAATTGTTACCGGAGCAAAAGTCCCTAGCTGAAATCCTGATGGGAAGAAGATTGAAAACGATCCACAGCCTGATGCATCCGACCAATGCACCCTCATCAGTAGAGACAAAGCAGCAAAGACAATCCGCTTACGAGGTGGGATGCCCTGTGTTTGCCCGCGACTACAGAACGAACCATGGTCCTTGGGTAGAAGCGAGAGTGGTCAGAAGGGTTGGTCGAGTTATGTACGAAGTAGAGGTAGGAGGTGATAAATGGTCACGTCATCGCAATCAGATACGCAGACGGCTAGCCCCAGATCGCCCATCAAGAGCAGAAAGCCTTCCCCTTGACATCTTGCTTGATACCTTCAACCTACCGAGAGCCCCGCCACGAGAAGAAACTCAGCAGCAAGCTGTTCTTCGTTCCCGAAGGTACCCCCTCAGACAGCGGCGAACAATAGTCAAGATGCAAGTCAACCACAGGAGAACACGCTATTAAAAAGGGGAGGAGTGTTGGGGATGTTAGATCCCCAAAATTCGCTTGATAATGCCGTATTTCGGTTTTCACGTTCGCCAGCAGGGGCTGATCAAATGACCTTGAGATTTCAATTCCCACCAGGAAAATCAATGGCTGTAATTGGCTACAGTGTATTTTAGTATGCTATTTTCTTAACTGTCTCAAGGACGTTGTTATGTTGTATAAATAAACGAGAGTTGTATGCTTGATTGTACTGGGATTGCTGGGTGCTTGTAGAATATACTTCTACGCCTACAAAGTATTCTATTTCGATTCTGGGATTCAGGGTAGCCTTCCTGGAAGCTGGTAAAAGTCTCGTTCGCGTTTATCGACTAAGGTAAAATCGTAATAGCCTCAAGCATCCTAAGTGTCGAACATATCAGTTTCGGACAGTAATTCATCAGAATTTCATATACTAATTACCTTCAAATGTCCACGGAGATTCTTAAAACTGATCAGATTCCTAAATTGTCTTTCTACCGCTCGGAAACTCACAGCGAAGACCAGTTTAGAAGAAATAGCTACCGAAGGATGAGTTACCTGAGTTGGCCTCCTCTATGTGCATTTACAAATTCAGCTGCTCCTTTGGAGATAGCTGTATCGGGCGTACTTCCAGGCAACTTACACAACGAATGAGTGAACATCTCCCAGCATGGTTTACAAAGGGTCAGTCAAAAACAATACCCAGTTCTATCTTAGCACACCTGGTAGATAGTGGTCACATTGTAGATAAATCTAGATCTTTTCGGGTGATCTATCGTATACCTCCATCATTCCTCAACGGAGTTCAATCCCGTCTCCTACACATTGCAGAAGCCATAGGAATACGCACATTCAACCCTAATTTATGTGTTCAGAAAAAATTCGTGACACCCCTATCTCTTTCGTGGCCGGATATGACGTAACTAACGATTGACATTATATATATTTTATTTATTTTAATTTTATTATTTTATTATTTTTACACATCTGCTTATTACGTAATGTTTTTTGATGATTATTTGAATTCTATTCATCCACCCTTGACCTACTTTAGTTATCATATTTTATAAATTTTCCTACTACAATCGGTTCACCTATCTTCCTACTATCCACTTGTACTTTAGCCTTTTTCATTTCATTGTGATTATCACTCAAATTGCCTTGATTGTTTTAACATTTTCATATAAATATTCATGTATATTAGAGTAAAGCCTGATGACGATCTAATCGAAAACAACACTATTGTTCGCTTATATGTGTTGTTCTAATTTTCACAATGGGAATCTTTAATAGCTAAGAAAGACATTCCATCTGATTGTGTTCTCGGATCAAATATTTCATCAAGCGTTGTGAATGCTGATGTGTCGAAAGATGCTTCGGTTAATTTATGGACATCATCATCTACAAGTCATGATTCTGCTTTGTGTCCTTTTACTACATTGGCTAAAGCTGTTACAGCTTCTCAGACAGACTGTAAGGATTCGAAAAATCTAGAAGATTCTGCCAAGGAAGTAGTTGAAGATAAACGGAAAGAAACGGTAACTTTAGCGGAAGTCGATCTAGTTGCAGGTTAAAGAGAAATACCAGTTATTCGACTGCATTGCCGAGCTCATAATTCCGATTCTAATAAAAACAGGTGTAATAATCTTGGACCCTTTCATTTCCAGTTAAATGATATACACAACAACAGTGCTGAAAAGAATAACGAATCTCTCTGCAGGTCACGGACAGCAGTACGTTTAGTGTATAAAGGCAGACTGTTGATTAATTCTATCAGTTGGTTACAAATGCCTGCTGCTCTAGTTGACTCACGAACTTTGAGAATGGGTGCAATTAATGAGGTGGGTAGTTATGTAATGACTACAGGGCGCAACGACTTCCAATATCTTGTTGAGGTTCTAGCCCATCGTCAGCGACATGGTACAAGAGCACAGTATCGCCTACATTATATTTGGGATCGCGTTGTAGAATGGACACCCGTCAGCAAGTTGCGCAAAGCAACTCGGTACGAAATCGATTAAGTCTTAAAATTCTGTAAAGAGCAAGGTACACTATCCACAAATAAAATCCCTAGTAAATTTGATCTGCAGTATTCATGTAGTAGTAGCAATGATTCTGCATCGGTAACATCTCAAGCTAAAAGAATAAGGACAAATGTGTCAGAAAGCAAGTCATTAGACCGCACTTCGGATCCTGAAACACATCGCTATCGGTCACGTCCTACTCATGTAAGTACAAGTGGATTCTCTGTCTTAGAAGACAAGAAGACTCTTCTCCCAACATTATTTGATGGAATAATCGAACAGGATGGGATGGTTTGTGATAAGAGTGTTTTCCAGTTTCACGAAGCCTGTCGAAGACGTCGTGAATTGGAAAGAAAAGCTATCGAAGAGAACGACACATGTCCATATGGATTCGACAGTTCTGTATCTGTTTTGAGTCAAACACACACCATCAGGTCAAACCATCAGAACAGACGTGGTCTTAATTCACAACATAATTCTATAAGAACCAAAAATTATGCAGCGGAATCTACAGTAGCATCCCCACCGGTATCATCGAATTCATTTTGTAAGAAAAGTGGTAAAATAAAGGGAAACATTACCCAATGCGGATCCAACGAGATGTGTAAACGAACGCTGGGAGTAGAGCAGAACTTCCGAGTGGATAAATAATTTCTCAGATTTCACGAGTTTCCTGGAGAGGTAACCAGAAGAAATATTTTGTCGTTTATAGCATTAATCTTTGATCCCGGTGGCGGTATATGGAAACATATTATAAAGTCAACAAGAAGAAAACCACAACATGGAGACTCACCGTTAGTAAACAATACTAGTTTGGTGGGAAATCTTTGGTGGAAACTATTTTCAGAGAAGTGGATTATGGTCCTGATGGCCGAGTCAGAACGATTCGATTGAAGAGACACCGTAGAGATCAACCGAGATATACGAAACCTATGTCTACTGGATGAGGTCGATTATTCGAGCGCGACGGCAACGAGGGCTGGACGTGGTGACCGCTTCGGAGGGGGGTGTTAGTTATTTTATAACTAATTGTGGTTATGTCATAACTAACCAATCAGATTGGTTAAGCGCTCACCACGTCATCTAGTCTGACCGGTCTATGAACTTTCTTTGTTGTGAACGGCCTATCGATGGAAGGATGTTATTATTTTATTTTATATAGATGTGACTCATGTTTTACATTCATTTTCTAAAGACACGCTATACTGTCCGGTACGTTTGCTCATCCTGCTTGATAATTGTAATTTCCTAATTTATTGTACTAAATTATTCGTTTTCTTTTTGTTTAGAAACAGATAAAGTTTAAAACCAAATTGTCTTCTGTTAACTATAGTTTCACTCTGGATTCTGTCATCGGCGGTATTTGCGTTTACGTTTTAGAATTACATCTGTAGGACAAACTTAAATCCTACAATAACGTCGATTGTTCTCTCCCACTTGAGAGTTATTTACCTGTCCGCAAGTTTTCTTAGGAGTTGATTTGGTACTCAACAACATTACGAAGTATCTTTTCACGCGATCTCGACTTACTACCAATCAACGATGGGTTCGGCATAGGATTTTACCCTCATACTACGTGCATGCTACACTTTTCTCCCTTTTCTTTGATTTTTATATCCCGAGCCTACACCTCCGACCACTGCCTTGTTAGTGCCGTCGACTTCAGTCAACCTTGGCGAAAGCTGGCCTGATCCACCACGCTCTTGTCAATGCAATCAGTCGATTTTCTGGTGACGAATATGTCTGGTATACGAGTGGTTTTACACTGGTCGTTTCTGCCTCATTCGCTCAATCTGGTTCCGTCCTACGTCTGCAGCATTATTTGGTCCGAATCCCTACGAACTCAATCTTCAGACTCTGGATACGAGCCACTTTGTTGTGGAATGCCAATCCGATAGACAAAGTTGGCACGTTACTCCTGGTACAGTTCAACGTAGAAGACTATCGGTGACAACACGAGCTTCATTGTTAGCTTCCAGTTCGTCGACCCTTCCGCACTACAACCTAATGTTGGCCGACCAGCCCCATCCGTCGAAGGCAGCCGCTATGTATCGAAAGTTTGAACTCTTTCTAGGCGGGAGCTGCTGTAGTGGAACGCTTCTACGAAGAAAATACGATTTGTGAAAAATAAACATTATTTTACATCTTTTGTTTAACTGTACCAAAAATTTTCGACTTCTTGCGCGCAACGTTCTCATCGCGTTACTGCCTTTTTTCTCTATCTACTGTTTCCTAAGTAATGCCAACGTTCTCCTTCAATAAACAACTCAACCATGGACTTATTTTGTGTTAAATATTCGTGACATGACCTTAATGAACATTTAGTGGTGAACATAGTCAATCTAGTATCTGGATTTGCTCACAACAGTACCAAACACAATCGAACACGTACAAGCAGCCGTATAAAGTAACGTCCTTACATATTTATTGTGTTTATTACATTTAACTGATATATTTCGCTATACATCTGTTTGTATTCAATAACTGTTAATATTTTGAAATAATATATAGTTTGGTCCACCACAATTAATTGGTGAGCCCACGTTTATGCTATTTGTTGTACTACTATAATGTTTTATTAACATTTTCGGCTTACACGTTTTGTTTCTATCAAATACGCTTTTACCTACATCAAACTACTGACAATGGATTTTTCTCAAGCAAATACTCTTACCACATCACAATCTGATGATAAAGTTCTAAGTTCCATTAACGCTATCTCAGATTTCAAACTTCCTGCATATGGAACTAGTGATTCTAGGATGTGGTTCTCCCAAATTGAAGATTTATTCATAGCCAGAAATATACGCGCACAAACGACCAAATACGCGTACGTTGTTAGTGCACTACCCATAGACGTAGCCGCCCAAGTTGGAGACCTGATTGAACAAGTACCCGAGAGTGACCCATATGACAAAATTAAAGCCGCTTTAATTCAGCGAACCTCAGCATCCGATGAAAAAAGGTTACAACAACTGTTAACGTCATATGAATTGGGAGACAAAAAACCATCCCAATTATTAAGATACATGAAAGAACTGTCAGGACCGTATAAATTAGACGAAACCTTACTCAAAGTACTTTGGTTTCAACGGCTACCACATAACGTAAGACAGATTCTTACAGTAATCATAAACTCAGTCAACCTAACAGATTTAGCTGACATGGCTGACAGAATAACGGAAATTTATCCAGACAGCCAGGGACTTGATTCTGTACAAACCACCATCATAAACAATATGTGTAACGTTCTTAATCTTCAACAACAGATAATGCAACTGACAAACCAGTTAGAAACGTTACGAGCCTCGGTAGCAATGATTAGCACTAGACCAACTACACCTTTCTCTAGGAGAAGGTCATGCTCCCGACACCGCTCCAAGTCTCCGAAAAGGGCGACCGGTATTTGTTGGTATCACCAGAAGTACGGTGAGAGAGCTCGCCGCTGCACAAAACCGTGCACTTTCCCCGCAAACAGTCTGGAGACACAGGGAAGCTGGCCTGCCAGAAAGTGATGGCGGCGACTACTGGCTACGCTGTAAGCCGTCTCTTCCACATCAGGGACAGGATTTCAGGCTCAGTGAATTTGACTAAAATAGTGATCATATCAGTGTCAAACCTGTGATTTGGTAATAATAATTCAAAATGCGCCAATTTCGTGTAGTGAGCCATTTTTATATTTTTCTAACTCATATAAACACATACATTGATTGACATTCTGTACAGGATATTTGCTTCTCTTTTTTTTTGAACTTTTCTGTAAAACAAAACTTTTCCCAGACTGTTATGAGTTATTAAAATACTTGTATCTTTCAATTATCCTGATTTTGCCCGGGACTTACCCTACGACCGTACTACAAAAACTTGGTATTTTTGAATCATGTTGAACTTTAATCTTTCTTCATGAGTTAACTTGACATCTTGTTCCTGCACAAGGTGTATTTGCTTATTCTCTGCCTAAACATTTTTGTACTTACTTATCCAATACTAATGCTGTACTATTAGAAAAAATACATAAATAATTAATGGCAAGAAATTGTACGCTTGTGTTCTTTCCATGAATACAATCTATGTGAGCCAGAGTAACCACTCTTTTTTTGTGTAAATCTTTTGTTTTCTCTACAGACATGTATGATTGGTTAAGCTTTTGTTTTATCCCTTTCAATATGATCATGTATATTTCTACTTTTAAAATCAATCAGCTTGTTGTCAACACATTAACAACTTGATATTCATCCCAGTTTACAATGTCTTTAATATCGTGAATATCAATTTCTTCCTTTTGTTTTCTCGCACCTTTTTCTCCTTTCTCTAATATGCGTGTGTATTCCTTTTTGTTCTGTTTATCTGTGAACCCATATCTATTGAGTGTTGTACATTTCTACCTATCGATTACTTTTATATAACGTGCTTTTTCTACACTGTTAGTGTTGTTGTTAATGATATATTAATTGTGTGTAGGATATCGTTCAATAGTCGAACAACTTATTTTAACTTGATAGTGCTCAGTATACATGTGCGTCTGACTGAAATTTGCCATACAGTCTACTATTGAATCATAAGTGAGCTGCATATTTATTGACCATGTCTACGACAACGGAATATGGTAGTTTGCATAAAATGAATAAGTTGGTTGTATAATATGATGAACTCATTGCTTACTGTTATGCATCGGAATTCTTCCATATCAAATTACATTAAGAACCTAAAAGTTTAGTGTGTTTATAATCACAATAATCCAAAGTGTATTCGTAAGCGCCTGAAAAAAGTCGCCTCTAAAGTCGTACTGGATGTAAGGATATGCGTAAATATAGGTAACGTATTTATGCTTTCATATTGTGCCATTCATTCTCATCATAATTATTGTTAAGGACATTACAGCGAATTAGTTTGAAAAACATTGGACTTCAGTATTAAATCTTACTGAGGTCTTTTGAGTACATCTTTTATTGTGTGATAGGAAAAAATATTTTGCTGATTGGACTTAAACTGCTTAACATTAAAAGGTAAAATAAGTAACCGTCAGAACATGTAGTACCTCGAGTAAGACAGACGTTTGTTATTTGATTTTCGATATCTAGAAATGAGCTTTTTACAATATTAATTTATATCGGTACGAATGTGACTGATTTGCGGTACTATATGTAAGCGGAATGTCACATTTATAACTTTTTCCTCTTAGGTAGAACATCAAGTTTCCTTCCTACAAAGCATACCAAAGAACAATTGATGCAGAAAGGCGGATGTATATATATCTAATTATTTATTCTCACTAGGTAGACTGGACTTGAACATTTCATACGTCTTTTCTATTTTGACGTAAAGGGTTTATGGAGATTTTCGAGCCTCATAATTTACATGAAGAACAAAACACACCTAAACAACCACTAATAATCAGGAAGTGCCAGATAAATTTCGTCACAATATGGGACTCTGCAGTGTACATGTATGACCCTGTTGAACTCAAACGCAGGACCTTGTCTGTTGGTGAGTGCTTCACCACTAAGCCGGTATGAAGTGGTGCACATCTCTAATTTGAACCAACCTGCAATATTCCACAACGATTTTCCGAAGCCATTAGTGGATAACTCAACATGTTTGAATCCCACAGGTCACAGCTTCTTACTAGGACTCTAGTAATTACTTCTCGAAAGTAGACATTATTATGAGTGTAAGCAGTTTATAGGGACTGGTGCATTTCAAAGTTTACATTAAAACTGCGGATTTTGCTTGAATTTCGTAGTTGGTGAACAGTTTTATCATATTTAATATGTAGAATTATTAACAGATGAGAACCTAGCTTAGAATAAAAAACTTCGGTCATTTTACGAATTCCTAAACTTCCTGTTTTTAAGACGTTACCCAGTCAGTAACAACGTAGAACTTCATACGTAAGTGTACATCAGTTCAGGTTGCCAAAGCACATTTGCACAGAGACGCAACTGTCAGTTCAAATCCAATAGTGGTAGTGATAGTAGAAGCAATAGCAGTAATAGAGAAGATTAGAATTTGACAGAACACAAACAGTAGATGCACATGCGCTATTGCAAACGATTCTGAGCCATATCGTTGAAGGTCTCTAACCATTGGCGGACCCCAACCAGGAAGCCTACATCTACCAACATGACTCAGTCAACTTGTCAGTGACTTCATGGATTTCTGCCAAGTTTTTGTCTGGCCGCCCCTAACTTTCTTCCAACCTACTCGAGGTAGTCTGTGGATAGGCATTCGTGACAAAAGTCCCAACCACATCAACTGATGAAGTTTCATTACTTCTGTTGACCTGCCATCCTTTCCTAGCATCCGTTTCCTAATAACGGCGTTGCTCATTCGGGTGTCCCAGGATATACGACCAATGCTTCGAAGACACCTATGATCGAAAACCAGTAACCTACGAATATCTTCTGCTCTCACTGGCTATGTTTCACAACCATAAAGTAAGATGGAGCGAACTACTGCACAGTCAGTCAGTTGCAACGTAGAACTTCGTACGTATGCACATAAGTTCATGTTGCCATACCACATTAGCACAGAGACGCAAATGTCAAATCAAGTCCCATAGTGATAGAGATAGTAGAGGTATTAACAGTAATGAAGAAGACTAAGGTTTGAAGATATTATTTAAGAAGTACAATTCAGTGAGATAAGGTTAGAAAGACAAAGGTAGAGGTTCTGACGAATCCAGAATATTAGGATTTGAGAGAGCTCAAGGAATGGATGCACTTGTGCCATTGCAAACGATTTTGAGCCATGTCGTTCAAGGTCTCTAACCATTGGTGACCTTCGTAGCCTACATCTACCAACATGACTCAATCCACTTGTCAGTGACTTCATGGATTTCTGCCATGTTTTGGTCTGGCCGCCCCTAGCTTTCTTCCAACCTACACCACAAAACATAGCTCGTCGAGGCAGTCGGTGGTTAGGCATTCGTAACACATGTCCCAACCACCTCAACTGATGTTTCGACACTTCATCTATTGATCTGCCATTCTTACCTAGTACCCGTTTCCTAACAATAGCATTGCTTACTCGGTTGTCCCACGGTATACGAGCAATGCTTCCTAAACATCTATGATCGAATACTAGTAACCTACTAACATCTTCTTCTATGGCCATGTTTCACAGCCATTTAGGAGAACGGAGCGAACTGCTGCGCAGTACACTCGTCCTTTGGTTAGCGAACGGATATCACGCCTACGCCATAAGTGACGCAGGTTGGCAAAAGCCAATCGAGCCTTATGTATCCGCGCTGAGATTTCGTCAGTCACCAGGCTATCAGCACCGACGAGACTCCCCAGATAAGTGAAGTGATCAACACGCTCGACTACTTCACTCCGTATCACCAGTTCAGGTGCCGATGCAACCCAATCTTGAAGCAACATTTTGCACAGTACAGTGCTGCGTTTAGTCTCATCTTTCTCCAATCGATCTGCCTGGCATGGTAGAACCTACAGGAACATGTGTTCCAGCCAATATAGCTCGGTTGGGTCATCACGATAGGTAAGCCCGACCACCACATGAAGGTAGCAGCTACTTTCGGGATTTGCATATATTAACGTTGATAAATTAATTGAGTTTATATTAAAGATAATAAGGACAGTAACTAATTTATAATTTGTTAATTCATTAAATATATGATATATTCTGTTAAATTGTTCGGTAAGAATTTAAAATTATCAAAAACAATTCAATGTCATCTTGAAAAGTAAAAAAAATTTCAAAATACACGACAGAAATTGTAATTCCGCCTAATTTTTTTCGGCGTCATTAATTTCAGTAATGATGATAGAAAGTGAAAAATAGAATTTTTTTACCCAAATAAAATAAAAAAAATAATATATATTACATAATCAACTTAATCTCATTAGCTGTGATCTGAAGTTTACATTAATACAAACATTTCTAGAGTTGTTCACTAAATTATACGCTTCTTCATATGAATAATCGTATATCAGAATAAGATAAGCAATTACAATAGATGGTGCACGTGATAGACCAGCTTCACAATGTATAAAACAACAACCTTCTTTTTGTTTGACAACATTGAGAAAATCACAACAACAATGTATAATATCACGTAATTGAAATGTTAAATCATCATAAACAATAAGAGATAGATATTGAAAGAATTCTGGAAAATAATTTGGTACTAGATCTGAAACGAGGTTAATAACATGCGTAACATGATTAGCTTGTAATAGATTCAAATCTTGAGCAACATCAGCAGAACCTACAATAAATACATAGTGTATATAAGATAAGTTATAGAGAGGGAGAGAGAGGAATGAGATCTGGTTAACAATATCACTTACCGAATAAAATTGTAAACTCCGGGAGATTTATCTTTCCTATTTGTAGATCGGGATTAAAATTTGGAATAAAACCATAAGAAGAGAAATTAGGTTCTGGTCGACTACATCTATCAACTTTTTCAATTTCTGAGCCATATTTATTACTTTTGGTGATTGATCCATCCAACTGTCGAATTTCTACAACTGTTGGATTTAACGAACCCACATTGAAACTCTGAATATCATCTTTTATATTCATACTTATGAAATCAAACCTGAAATATATTTTTTTTAGAAGTTGGATTTAAAGGTTTCAACAAATAATTTGATTAGAACATAATGTATTGTATGAAAAGTTGACAATGTACAAATCCTTAAGCATTTATTAGGCTTATCGTTTTACACGTGTTTTAGACAAATTTGCATTCGATATTTTTTGCGCCCGGTATTTTCTCATATTACGCTTCTCTTGTTACCGTCTATTGCAGCTATGCTCACTTAACCGCCTATTTCTGTTGAATACTAACTTTAAGCAAAAGAAAAAACACCTTTTGACATGACGACCCACAAAGTTGTCTCAACGCTGGACCCATCTAGATTACATCACCATAATCCACCAAAGGAGTGGGTCGAAAGCAGACCTTCGCTCATTCTGTGGCACATGTTTAAACCTGGACAATGCTCTAGTGCGAGAGCGTATTCGTTCGCATCTTAGTGGACATATGAAAGACAGCTCAAATAAACCTCTTAGACTTCTACATAATGATACCATAGCTAAGTATATAATCAAGGAGCAACTACAAAACCATTTAGGCAGCCATGTAAGTGATGCCCACCCAGAAGCAGCTTGGACTAATGAGACTAATATTCATTCTCAATACACGAGATTGGATCTGTGGGCAGAACACCTCAAGGTGCCATTCAACTGGCCTTCAGCCACACTTCGGTTACCAACGATCTCTAATCAAACTGAACAGAAAACCAATGTAAGTCCCCCTAGTTTTTATGAAGTAGAGAAGGCTATGGGAAATCTAATGCGAGGGAGAACAGCAGGAACTGACAGATTAACTCCTGATACTTTGAAGGATGGTGGACCAGTTTTAGTAGTTAGATTGACTGGGATCTTAAGTAGAATCTGAGAACTGGACATAATCACATCCCACTAGTCTCAATCACTGACTGTCTCAGTCTATGAGAAAGGACGAAAGTCCTCTTGTGACACTCATAGAGGAATCAGTTTAACTAATATGGAATCTAAAATATTGGCCTCAATATTACTCCGACGCCTAACTAGAGCTCGTGAAGAGCAAACTAGAGAAAACCAGACTGGTTTTCGACCTGAACGTCAATATATATAGACCAAATATTCACATTACATCAGGTCCTAGATCATAGAATTTCCCTCAATAGTAGTATTTCTCGACCTTAAAGAGACATAAGACTCTGTCGATCGTGAGGTTATATGGCAGTGTCTGTCATTAAAAGGTGTACCAAAGAAGTACATTAACCTCATACAAGCTCTTTACTCGAACACCACTAGTCGAGTGAGAGCTTATGGCAAACTGTCATCGGAATTCTTTACTTTAAGTGGTGTCCGTCAAGCCTATCCACTCTCTCCATTCTTGTTTAACTTTGTCGTAGACATCCTCTTAGAGTTAGCATTATCTTCCTCTGACTTTTCAGGGGAAGAAATTCTACCAGGAGACACCCTTGTTGAGTCAGAATATGCCGATGACATAGTTCTAATTGGTGAAGACGCTGACAAAATACAGTCTTCTGACTATCCTAAGCAACGATGCAAACATTACCGGCATGCGATTTTCCAACTCGAAATGCAAAATGTTGCTTCAAGATTAGCTTGCATCAGCACCTGAACTAGTGATATGCAGTGAAGTAGTTGAGCGAATCATTGGCCTCACTTATCTCGGGAGTCTCATCAAAGCCGATGGCTTGGTGACTGGCGAAATCTCAGCACGGATATAGAAGGCTCGATCGGCTTTTGCCAACCTGCGTCACTTATGGCGTCGGCGAGATATCCGATTGCTAACCAAAGGACGAGTGTACTGCGCAGCAGTTCACTGTCCTGCTACACGGATGTGAAACATGGATTGTGAAAGTAGATGACATTCGTAGGTTACTGGTTTTCAATCACAGGTATCTCCGAAGCACTGCTCGTGTATAATGTGACAACCAAGCAAGCCATGCTGTCTTTAGGAAACGAGTAACACGCATGACTGGCAGATCAATAGATGGAGTACTGGAACTTCATCAGTTGAGGTGGTTGGGACATTTGTCACGAATGCCGAACCACAGACTATCTCGAGTAGATTGTAAGAAAGCTAGGGGCGGCCAGACCAAAACATGGCGCAAATCCATGAATTCACTGACATGTAGACTGAGTCATGTTGGTAGATTTGGGCTACCTAGTTGGGGTCCACGAGACGATAGTAACAAATCGTTAGAGACCTTGTATTACATGGCTTAAAATCGTTTGCGATGGTGCATGTGCATCCACTCTTTGTGTTCTCTAATACTCTTATCTTCTGGATATCTCATCACCTTTCACTATTTTATGCCTCTTTAATAATATCTTCGAACCCTAATCTTCCTAATTACTGCTAATTATTCTACTTCTCTACTACTATGGGATTTGAATTGACGATTGTGTCTCTGTGCTTATGTGGTATGGCATCTTGAACTGATGTACGTACGTACGAAGTTCTATGTCGTAGTTGACTGACTTTGTGATCTTCAGATAGTCTACGTTTCACTTAGAGTCACACCAAATTGTCTGATTTTGGCCAAAATTAGCGCGAAATTGTCTGTCAGTCAGTAAGTTACAATGTAGAACTTCGTACGTACGTACATCAGTTCAGGTTACTATACCACAGCACAGAGGCGCAATTGTCAGTTCAAATCCTATAGTTGTAAAGATAATAAAAGATTAGGGTTCGAAGATACTATCCAAGTAGTCTAATTCAGTGAAATAACTTTAGAAAGCGAACGACAGAAGTGATGAGGAATTCAGATTAGAATTTTTTAAAAACACTGGATGCACATGCGCCGTTGAAAACGATTTTGAGCCATATCATTCAAGGTCTCTAACCATCGGTTACCTTTGACTAGCGAACCCCGACCTGGTACTCTACACCTATTGACATGACTCTGTCTACTTGTCAGTTAATCCATGGATTTGCGCTGTTTTGTTTGGCCGTCCCTGGCTTTTTTTTCAACCTAATTTTACATCACAAGACATCGCTCGTCGAGGCAGTCAGTGATCAAGCATACGTAACACATGTCCCAACCACCTCAACTGATGAAGTTTCAATACTTCATCTACTGATTTGCCATCCTTACCTAGTACTCGTTTCCTAACTATAGCATTGCTTATTCGGTTGTCCCAGGATACACGAGCAATGCTTCGAAGACACCAATGCGGCGATCATGGAACCTTATAGACCTATTGCCTTTTGTGAGACATTTAGGTGAAATATCTCGTTACTACTACAACCTAGTCGAAAAAGGTGATATATAGTTGTAATGTCACCTGAATTCACACTAAATTTTCCTAGACAATGTCACCTGTAATTCACTGAAGTCCGCACTAATTTTCCCATTCTTGTTTAACAGGTTAATTTTGATTTTTTTTTTGAATACCTAGTATTTTTTTACGTGCTGGTATAAAACAATTGATCCCTATGCCCGATTCTTATTCTTTAGGAACAGTTCCAGGAATTGGGTAATGTACAATGGATGGTAATTTAGCCACTCAACTGCACTAATTCTAGTCAGCCGGCAGTTACTCATAAAAATGTACGTCCTGTGATTTGCGTGAGTGCGTATGTCTCAGGGCAATAGGGATTTTGGTTACCAGCAACTATCACATTACCAGGCAGATCAGTCATAATATGGAGAATAACAATAGGATTCTATTGCTAATAAGAGGGAATTTTCAGAACTAAGTAACTAGATAAGTCATTTAATTGAAAGCGAAGACAGTGTGAGAAAAGAACGAGAAACAAATAATACGCGAGATATAATAAGTTAGTGATCTAAGGAAACGACAATAATAACAGCCAACAAGTGTCGAGGCATGCATACAGCAGAGCTGGTCCAAGAGGGAGGTGATAATCAGTATGTCAGTAGTTGTTTATCAAGTTTCTTAAAGCTATTCACTGAGGAGACTGGTCACTTCGGCTGGTAAGCCCCACCTCAGTTCAGCAAAAATGGGGAAATAGAGGTGAACTTTCAACGTTTAAGATTACTTTTCTAAATTAAATATCAGATTTAAATAGGCTACACCGATAGAATAAGCCTGAACTTTAGCCATTAGCAAAACTCACTGGGGAGAGATTGCGGTTAAACTCCATTTTTGTTCACCATTTGACCTTGATTCCGGCAACCAATCAGAGAGAGGCTATTGCCGCTATTTTCGCTATCGTATTCGGGGATAAACGCCATGTTTCGTTCCGTGTGGTTTTCCTCTGGCTTATCAGTGTTTCATGTTTCAGCATGTGGTAATATTGCTATGCATATGTTGTTTTAAATGTCCAGTGAAATTTTCGCCACCGATTTGTTCAATATAGAGGTTTGGGTAGCCTATGTTAGTCTCAGTTGATCCAACTTTCTTTTGAATGCTTCAATCGATAGAGCTTTAATCCCATGTTTAAGTAACGAGTTTCATTCGTGGACAGTTTGATAGGAAATCTAATAATCGACATACAAGTAATTTTTCAAGACTTGAGGACTTATTCAATGTTCTTATCACTTATCCGATGAGAGCATATGCAAATTTACCATCAAAAGACTTTAAACTGTGGTTATGTTTCTTTTCTACGACAAGGGAAATAAGTTTGTTCGACTAGTGAAGTGACACTGGGACCTAGCCAATTCATCCTCAAGGCCAGTCACTGAATGTTGAGCAGGTAGCCAAACCTCCTGAGGGTCAAAGACCAATACTGCACACCAGTCGGACAGATGGATTAGGGCGGAAAGTTAGGTACAAGGTTTGTGTTCTCCAGATATAATCAGAAGCCCTATTTCCATTATATGGCAAATTCAATGTTCTGATGCAGTGTCTTGCTGATTATGTGTTTATTACGCTCATTAACTCATGGTAATTTCAATAGTTTCTGTTTTCATTAATTATTAGTGGTCTTCACATCTGCCTTTACTGCGTTTGTCAGTTAAACAGAATACCAAACAGATGGAAAGACATTATCAATGATGCTCAATTGAGAGTATCATTTGACTTTGTATCGGGTTATTACACTCAAGTACTAGATACGACTTATCGATGGACTGGATGAATACTGACTGTATAGTATGTTTAGAATATTGAGAACTGAAGACCTAAATCCTGTGTTAGTTCGTTTCTAGTACGTTCCTGAGAGCTTCTAATCTCCTGCTGAACTAGTCATTCGTAGGCGCAAACACCATGTCTTGGGGTAACAAGTTCCAGTGTGAAAACATGAATCCCAGGGGTATTTTGTTTGACATCAGTTTGTGTACTTACTTGTTATGTTCTGCAAGTTGTCTTGATTCTTTAGGGAGAAAATTCGAGTGCATATCGGGTATAAAACCATTTCTAAGTATTCTATACATCAACATTAGATTGCTTCTTAATCTACAGTAGGATAGAGCGAAAACATTCAATTTTTTAAGCCACCCGGTTTATGAAAAACCTCGGAGCTCTTTAGTTATCTGGGTAACTACCATCAGTACTTTTTCAAGATATCCAAGTCACCTTTTTGACAAGGGCTTGCAGTCTGGATACAGTTTTCAAGCTTAGATTTCAAAAAAGCTGCGCATACGTTCATGATCACACTAGTATAAGACTTGGTCTTATGATCGTGGCTTACTGATGCCCCAAAATCATTATGAGACCGGGCTGCAGGCGCCGAATTTTCCCCAGTATTGTACTTATTTGTCTTTCTACCCCCAGTGTGCATGTAGACACACCAGGTCACGCTGACAGGCATAAGTCATGTTCTAGACAAGCTAAGAAGATCGTCCAAATCAGCTTTAAGTTCATTTGCATCTGCATCTCCCTTATTTCTTGATAAATTTTTACGTCTAGGCGGCCACCCTAATAAAGTGAATCTCAAGTACATATATTCAGTTATTCTGTCGTTTAAAACGATAAGCACATTGTAAACTTCATTTTTTCAGACTCAGCTCTGTCCGTATAACTTGGCACATTACCGATAGCTTGTAAAGTAATGAGGTAACAAAAACGATAACTTCTGGATAGTAAGCAATAAAAAGTTTCTTGATTAGACAGCTATGTAAAATTTTGTCCCAACCGTAGCTGCTATCTTCATGTGGTGGTCCGGCTTGCCTATTGTGATGACCCAACCGCGCAATATTGGCTGGAGTATATGTTCCAGTAGGTTCTACCATGCCAGGCAGGTCGATTGGAGAACGATGAGACTAAAAGCAGCTACCCAAGTTCTGAAGGCGAAGTTATTCTGCTGACTGTAGCGGAGTGTGACAGCAGTAAGGTGTCACCCTCGGACAACCAGCATCTGCAGTGATGCTGCCTTCTCACAAGGAAGGAAGGGTTAGAAAAGGTCGACCCTAAAAATGTCACACCTCACACTACCTCACGGATTTCCGTCTCCGGCGGTAAGGGTGCCCACTAAGGGCTTTCAAGAGCGGAGCTTATACTCAACGAACCTTGAATAAAAAGGTCGTGTGTGACCGGCCTCAAGCAGTAGTCTCTTGGACTCTACCGTCACGCTCTCAGGTTGCCATGACCGATACTAACCTACCTTCTTTTTCAAGTTCCTCAAGAAACATCCATCCATCACCCTCATACCTATAGAAGCAAAATAGACCAAATTCGTCAGAATCGAATTCTTTCTACACCTCTTAATCACTCTCTTATCTCAACGACCAACCGTTCTTTCGATCGTTTGTCACCTCGCGCCACTGAAGCAAACGGCTTAGGCTCACGAAACGTTATTCCTGGTCTCTTTTAATGTTCTAACCCTATGCCAAATATTGCAACAGGCTTCGTTTGCTAGAACTCTGGAATCCCAGGCGATCGATGTATGTTGAGTCTCCGAAATGCTCATACAAGATCCGAAGAAGGATAAGGATACTCGCCGCTGCCTCTACGTCGTGTCTGCCTACGCTCACATTGACTACAGTTCAGACGACGTGAAGGATGATTTTTATATAAACTTCTCCAAAATGTTAAGCGCTCTTATATAGTAATAATGGCTGGTTACCTTAATGATCGAATAGGTAGACTCAGCGAAAAGGAAAGACACGTGGTTGGATCTTATAGTGTCACGGCCAATAGAAAAGACAATGGCGAACGTCTGCAGCAGCTTTGCTCAATTGACCGCCTATTTCTAGCAAACGCTGACTTTAAGCATAGCGTAAAATACATTTTGACCTGGCGACCCGTTAATCGACCAAAAGATGGACTCAGCTAGATCAGATCGCTGTAAGACATCGGTGGAGAGGCTCTGCTGAAGACTGCCGCACTTTTCTAGACTCAAAAAGTCTGTGGAAACAGCAGTGATATATTCTAGTAAGGTAAACCACAAGGTAAGGGAAAAGCCATGGATTTCAGTACCATCTATCGAACTGATGGGTGCTCGAAAGCTCATCCAGCCTTGCTCTTAGTACGATGAGGAGCGGAGTCAGCTAAGGCGCATGCTAATAAGAAGCCTAGGCAATGATCTCGAACAATGGTGGGTAGAGAACGCAAAGGACATGTAAAAGGCAGAGGCGATAGGCAACGGTAGGCAACTATCCAGACACATCAAGGAAACCGGTATTAGGAACCTGAATGCGAGTGAAACTATTTCGGAATAGAATGGCATTATTATCCATTTACAATCCACGAGATTCGATCGGTGGGCAGAACACCTCAAGGTGCCATTCAACTGTCCTTCAGCCACACTTCGGTTACCAACGATCTCCAATCAAACTGAACAGAAAACCAATGTAAGTCCCCCTAGTTTTTATGAAGTAGAGAAGGCTATGGGAAACAGCAGGAACTGACAGATTAACCCCTGATATTTTGGAGGATGGTGGACCAGTTTTAGTAGTTAGATTGACTGAGATCTTAAGTAGAATCTGAGAACTGGACATAATCACATCCCACTAGTCTCAATCACTGATTGTCCCAGTCTATGAGATAGGACGAAAGTCCTCTTGTGACACTCATAGAGGAATCAGTTTAACTAATATGGAATCTAAAATATTGGCCTCAATATTACTCCGACGCCTAACTAGAGCTCGTGAAGAGCAAACTAGAGAAAACCAGACTGGTTTTCGACCTGAACGTCAATATATATAGACCAAATATTCACATTACATCAGGTCCTAGATCATAGAATTTCCCTCAATAGTAGTATTTCTCGACCTTAAAGAGACATAAGACTCTGTCGATCGTGAGGTTATATGGCAGTGTCTGTCATTAAAAGGTGTACCAAAGAAGTACATTAACCTCATACAAGCTCTTTACTCGAACACCACTAGTCGAGTCGATGATGGTACATTTGTCACGAATGCCGAACCACAGACTACCTCGAGTAGATTGTCAGAAAGTTATTGGGGGCCAGACCAATACATGGCGCAAATCGATGAATTCACTAACGTGTAGACTGTGTCATGTTGGTAGATTTGGGCTACCTGGTTTTGGTCGGCGAGATTATAATAATCGATACTTGCAGTCTGTTAGTGGGACATAGATGAAATCAAAGCACGACTACGTTGCTGCGCGCTGATCGGCTAAACTCCTATCCAATCAGCGCCTGATCGAAGCTTGGAGAACAGGATAGAAAATTCTCGTATTATTAGCTCCATGCTGATTGGTCAAATCCAGTCCAGTCGATCACGTGAATTTTCTTCCAGAAGTTTTCTCATGGAAAGGCTATAAATAGACTAGCATTGTATTTATCTTGGCCTTCTTAGCCTTTTTCGCCTTCAAGCCTTCTTGCTTTCTTCGCCTTGGCTTCGCCATCACCTCCGGCTTCTTTTCCTTGTTATTTTGGAATACAATCCTTCCTGTTCAACCGTGTTCTGATTTGGGTTGCTTGTCCATTGTTTTGTGTCAAGAATACTAAGCAATAAGATTTAGCCGGGAAATATCGTAAGCAACCGTTACAACAGAGTCCCTGAGTGACGTGGCTCAAAACAGGTTACAATTGCGCAGGTGCATTTACTATTCGTGTTCTATGACATTCTACACTTCTCAATCCCTCATCACCTATATATTCACATTTCTAGATATACCTTAATGAAATATACTTGTTGAATAACATCTTCGAACCCTGATCTCTACGATTACATCTAATTCTTTTACTGCCTCTACTAACATGGGATTCGAATTGACAATTTTATCTGTGTGCTAATGTGGTATGGCGACTGGGAATGTTGTACTTATGTGCAAAGTTCTACGTTCTACTTGATGATGATAAGGAAAATTGTTACGTTAAAATGTTGCTTAGGCACATGAACTTGCAACACGAAAAACATTCCTCTTACTCGACAGGGTTAGCTTCCTAATGTAGAATTCACTTTGAAGTCTTTGTTTCAGGAAAATCTCTCCATGTGAATATTTGTTATATGTTCGCACTGACTCTCTCAGTGCTACATTTTGGTGGTCTGTTTAATCCCATTTATCAAAATTCTAAGACCATTTGTTACGATAACAATCGAGTAGAGCGAAAACAGGTAATAGACATCTGACTAAGCGTAAAAACTTTGTTAGCGATTTCATGAACTGATGACACCTATTCATTCGTCAATCCCCAGATTTCTTCCATCCCACTCCAACACTGACCGAACCCGTCGAGCAAAGTGGTGGTTAGCAGTACGTAATATAGGTCCCAAACCTTTCAACCTATAAAGATTCACTACCTCATCAATTGATCTACGCTTCCGTACATACAACCCTGAGTTTAACCTCAGCATCTTAACTCTGCGGTTACAACATACACGAGTAATTTTTCCGAAACATCTGTAACCGAAAACTTGTGATCTATGAATATCCTCTATTAAAAATGCCACGTTTCACAGCCATGACGAAGAACGGAGTGAACTGCCATACAGTGTAATTATACCCTGGTTGGAAGACAAATATCTCTCCTATCTCACAGGCAACACAAGTCGGCAAAAGTTAACCGAGTTTTCTGAATCCACCGCAAGATTCCAACAGACACCAACTAATCAGGGCATTGATAGAGACCAGTCCCAAAGCAATATTAAGAGGCGGAGTGGAATGCTGAACATGAAAGCTTCTTTGATCAACGCGATCGAAAGATTTTGGATTTTCCTAAAAAAAAATAATTTTCCCCTACAGCCAAAATTCAGAACTGTATTTTCCTTACAGGCAAATTTGAGGTCTGAGCCTTTGCAAACATGCATTATACTTATAATGCGTCATTTCGTAAATTATCAAGGCTGTTAATCTCCCAAATGACTGGCGGTTAGTTCGTATGGCATTGGATCCTGGTTCGTTGGTTCACTCCTGGAGCTTTTTGCCTTACCATATTGTAAAACATATATACAGTTATTTGGGTAATGAGATCAATAATGCTTCTACAGTATGCAAACACTGGCGTGGGGTCGCATACACCGATCGATCTTTATGGGACAAACTACATATATGTCCTCCTAATTTTCCAGAAGTTGAAGCTTTCAAGAATCCGATCATCCCCATGAAAATTTGTTCCAGTATTTCGCTTGAATTCGATCCAATGAATGAGTCTCACGCTGCTGTTCTTGAAAATACTCTGAATGCTTTGTGCTCGAATGCCCGAATACATTCCATTTCCTTAAAACCGACATCGAAACTTACAGACAATAAATTCACTTCAATTATCTTGAACCAAACTTCGAAAAAGTATGTGGTGATGATTTTCTTTTTGAATAATCGATATTGTGAATGTGCATGTAGTGCGGTTGTGTTAGGAAAAGGTATAAAGGCGGATCAGTCAGATATAAGATTTCGAGCCTTAAGTTCTGGGGTGGGTCTCATTCATTCGTATGGTTAAATAAAACTTTATCATTGTATTTGGTGTCAGTTCCCGATGAAAACCTTCGTTTTAATTCCTAGTTTTAGATTCTATGTCTAACATTTGGTTTATCTTTTTCACACTAATTTATAACCTTAATTTGACTGGCAGGTGGTTTGGTTTTTTAAATGCGTTTGTGTCGCAGTTAAGCCACAATTTGTGGGAAATTTTTAAGTGATACCAAAGTTACCTTGAGGATATTCACCTACTCATTAAGGTTAAGTATTACAGATCCACAATAAGTTATTAATAAAATATGGAATTAGATATTAGCGTCGGTAATTAGAGTTTGAAGTTCTTATCAGGAACGGAAGTCAGCTATAATGGCAATGCTGCCAAACCCTATGAACGAATAACTTTTGCGCCAAAATCCAGGACTAGCTATCCCGAGTGTAATTAGTTCGTCCACTTTGTCGAATAAAGTACACACTTCTGCTATTTAAATAATAAATGAATACTCATTTATCAATGGTACTACTTAGATTTAAATTATGCCTAGTAACTTATATCACCATACTATACTTCATCTTTACGAACTGTTCAAATTTGAATGGAAGTAACAAGCAAGTCAACGAGAGATGCCAAAGTAAATTTAAGTACCCAGAGATCACTCAGGTGCTTTCAGTCTAAATTGCATTCTCATCCAAAGAAGCATTTAAAAAATGCAGATATCAACAATGTGCGGTTGAAGTATCTTTTGACTGACTAGAAATCAATTGGTGACAAATTACTTTCTCCCTTGAAATAAGACTACTTGATTGAACACATCTTCCAGACGCAGAACTTTCGAACTCAGCACATTACATCCTCGGGATTGTGTAAACCTAAGTCATATAGTCTACAAATTACTGACTAAAAATGTTTAGGTTGCATGCCTACTACACTAAAGTACCGTATATTTTATTTGGGGTCAATGATTATCATTCCCTATGTAGCAGTTCCATGAAGTTGACATCAATTTGAGATTACTGGCCATCTGTCACCTAAATGTCATTGGTCATTTTCGTTGTGCAATGCTCCATCACTAACTTGAAACAAATGTCAGGTCATAATGAGTTAGATGCATTCGTTTCCAACTATGATGTTAAATTACCAATGATCGGATTTACAGAGGTGCTTTCTATATTCTAGCAAATAAATTATTCAAGACACTTCTAACCACCTCATACCTTCATGTATTTCACTGATTAGTGTGGGTGTATTTATTGACCGGTGCCCCAAAAAATGAGCCATTCGCTGTAGTGTGGAATAGCTATTTAGGGTTGGCACCTACTGACATATCACTACGTCTTTTTCGGGATCCCGTTGGGGAAAACTTTCTTGGGACGGTATCAGATATGGCTCTGAGTCAAGGTTACTTACGATCATGCTTTGGTCTCTGTGTATATAATTGAAGGCAAGATGAGTTTCCTTTATCACAAGAAAATTCTTGATCTAATGTTTATTCGAACTTTCCCTTTTAATTTATACTACTCTCACAATTTCCGGTGTCAGTGATAAGTTATAGGAAAAATGGACCTACTCACAATGGTCATGAGTAGTAAGTTTCTATCACTTTTCTGACCTCTGCGGATTTTTTACCCATTAGTTGATAATTCTTCGGTTTCCTGAGTCCTCACTCATTACCCTATTATTCATTGGGATCAACGAAAGAAGTAGCAGAACTAGTGATATAAAAATGTCTGATCAGCCAAACCTGTTCACCATCTTTAATTTTAGTAAATCAGGGTTGTGGTTGCGGTGAAGTGTCCCTTAAAAAATAAAAGCTGACTTTCAAACCTTATGTTACAGGTCCGTGGCTTAGTTAGCCTAGAAACACTGCTAACCGCCATAATAGGTACGGAAGCTCCACTTAGGGGGATCGGAAAACCCTGACTCCAAACCAGTGGTGCTCATGGGCTCCGGTATCTTAAGGAACCAGGTGGCGTTTAAACCCTTGTCAAAGATTCTCTTTTTGCTCCCTTGAGTTCGCAAATAACACCCTTGCCACAAGAAGGCAGTGAGTAGGAATTCAATGGCAGTAACTTTACGCACGTGGATATATGAGAGCATTTTGAACGGTAAGATGAACCGTGGCAAATCGTCCGTATTAGAGCATAATGATAGTTATCTTATTCCAGCGTGAACCTCCGTCTATGGACTTGATAGCTTTAGTTTTCAATATACTATTCAAATAAAACGAGCTTATTCATTCTAACTTTTTCGTTCAGAAAAGGAAAGATGAAGTAGTTCCAGCCTAACTTAGTAGTAAGTCAGTCAGTTATAACGTAGAACTTCGTACGTACGTACATCACTTCAGGTTGCCATACAAAATTAGCAAATCGACGCAATTGTCACTTCAAATCCCATAGTAGTAGAGATAGTAGAATTATTAGCAGTAATCAGAGAGATTAGGGTTCGAGGATATCATTCAAGAAGTAAAATTTAGTGAAATAAACTTAAAAGGTAAAAGACAAAGGTGATGAGGAACTCAGGTTAGAATTTGAGTTAACACAAAGAATGAGTGCATCTACGCTATTGCAAACGGTTTTGAGCCATGTCATTCAGAGTCTATAACCATCGATAACTATCATCTCGCGCGGTCCAACCAACATGGCTCAGTCCACTTGTCAGTGACTTTATGGATTTGTTTTGGTTTGGCCGCCCCTAACTTCCTTCTGACCTATTCCTACATCACAAAACATAGCTCAACGTTTTGAGACTAAATAACCTAATGCAGGCTCAAGAATTAAGTTTTGACTTATGAAGGTACGTTTGTAACCTGCTTGTACCGATGAACGTCGAATGCGATTCGAACATGCAACTTAATCGGTTAAAATTTAAATTTTTCAACCACATATTCGCCGCGCTACTATACGAATGAAAAACATATTTTCATATTTCGGCCCTCGGTCTTGATGCTACTTTAGGTTTAATAACTTTATACTTCACTATGAAGCTATCTGTTTCCATCATATTTATGTACTTATATACTTGTATACCTGATTATTTTTTCTTCTCATTCAAACAGAATAATAAATGCCTTATGTGAAGTGATTATGAATGCTAAGTGTTTAAAAAATTTTTATTGGGGTGGAACTTATTGTGAAAGCCATGAAGTCAATCGTGTATTAAAATCATTGACAAAAACTCAAAAGCATAGTTTATTATCATTACAAATTATCAGATTATTTCAAATCAATCAATCCATGTCATACTTGAATACAAGATTATTTATATTTTCCAACCTTAACCAATTTTCTATTAACTACCTACATCTTTCAGAGGATATCCTTTTAGTTTTATCGAAAAACTCAAACAACCTTCGTATTTTAAAACTTTTTGTACAAAACAATGTTAATGATCTTCCTATAATTCGGTGAGTTTTTTAATTTTAAATAGTTGTTTGATATACACTGTATCAGTCAGTCAGTTAAAACGCAGAACCTGGTACGTACCTACCTCAGCTCAAGTTGCCATACCACATTAGATTAGACAGAAAATTTTCAGTTAAAGTCCCATAGTACTAGTGGCAGTTGCAGTATTAGCGGTCTCTAACCATCGCTTATTATCATCTCGCCGACCCCAACTAGGTAGTCTACACCGACTAATGTTATTTAGTCCACTTGTCAGTGAATTCATGGAATTGTGCTATGTTTTCTTTCGGCCGCCGCCAGTTTTCTTCCAACCTACTCCTACACCATAAAAGATCGCTCGTCGAGGTAGCCGGCGGTTGAGCATACGTAACAGGTGTCCCAAACACCTCTCCTGAAAAGTCAGAGGAATATAATGCTAACTCCAAAAGTATGTCTACGACAAAGTTAAACAAGAATGGAGAGAGTGGATAGTCCTGACGGACACCACTTAAAGTAAAGAATTCCGATGACAGTTTGCCATAAGCTCTCACTCGACTAGTGGTGTTCGAGTAAAGAGCTTGTATAAGGGTTAATTTACTTCCTTGGTACACCTTTTAATGACAGACACTGCCATATAACCTCACGATCGACAGAGTCTTATGTCTCTTTAAGGTCGAGAAATACTACTATTGAGGGAAATTCTATGATCTAGGACCTGATGTAATGTGAATATTTGGTCTAAACATATTAACGTTCAGGTCGAAAACCAGTCTGGTTTTCTCTAGTTTGCTCTTCACGAGCTCTAGTTAGGCGTCGGAGTAATATTGAGGCCAATATTTTAGATTCCATATTAGTTAAACTGATTCCTCTATGAGTGTCACAAGAGGACTTTCGTCCTTTCTCATAGACTGGGACAATCAGTGATTGAGACTAGTGGGATGTGATTATGTCCAGTTCTCAGATTCTACTTAAGATCTCAGTCAATCTAACTACTAAAACTGGTCCACCATCCTTCAAAGTATCAGGGGTTAATCTGTCAGTTCCTGCTGTTCTCCCTCGCATTAGATTTCCCATAGCCTTCTCTACTTCATAAAAACTAGGGGGACTTACATTGGTTTTCTGTTCAGTTTGATTGGAGATCGTTGGTAACCGAAGTGTGGCTGAAGGACAGTTGAATGGCACCTTGAGGTGTTCTGCCCATTGATTCAATCTCGTGTATTGAGAACGAATAGTAGTCCCATTAGTTTCCTAGATGGTTTCGCCAACAGTTGAATTTCTAATTCCGGTTTGCTTGATGAGTCGGTACAGTTATTTAGTGTTACCTATCATCACTGAATTTCGTATCCTTCCTGCTTTCGCTACCCCCACTGTTCGCGATCATTGCGTAGGTTTTTTATCAACCTGCTTCTAAGCTATTTCGCTCTTGATCATGTTTAGAACCAAGTCGGATGAGTTTACGAGCGTCTAGTTCGGTGGATGCTACTGAAATACACTGTTTCTCCCTAACCTTTTCGTTTACCTTGCTGGCGGAAAGCGCTTCTGTTTCCAAAGCTTTGTGGATATTATTGCAAGCTGCTTCTGGGTGGACATAAGTTACATGGCTGCACAACTTTTTTTCTAGTTACTATCGAAATATACTTTCTGCTTTCTAATGGTTAAGTGGAACTCTGAGGTGTTTCCTTGTCAGTATGTCAAAGAATGCTTTTCCTTTTGCCTAAAGTTATTATTTGGCTGAAATAGTTGGTTATCTGTGCACAGTTGCAGTAGACTGTTGCCATTATCTGTTCGATGAGCTGTGACACTATAAGATCCACCTAGATGTCTTTCCGTTTCGCTTAGTCTATCTACTTGTGCATTAGAGTCACCAGCACTATAAATAAATCTGACGGTAGGCTTTCTGAAGAAGGTTAGAAAGCTTCCTGTAAAATTCATCTTTTACCTCACTCGAGCTGCAATCAACGGAAACGTGGGCAGAGACCGCGATAAGGCAACACTGAGTGTCTCTGTATGTACGATTTTTTACTGTCCCGTTTAGTCGGACAGCTCATAAACATCTATCTGCTAGGATCCAGTCTAAGATTGCCTGTCCTGTCTTAAAACTCAATGCTATTCCTACACCAGCAAGGCCACTGGCTGCATCGGTGAGGCTCCTAGATACGCTTAGCGTAAGTTGTGACAATTCTTTATCTTATTAAAGTGAGATCTAATGAATCAGTGCTTTATGCGCGTTTCTTTGGCGCAGCGTACATCGATGTGGCGATGTAAACTAACCCCCTCTATTGTGCTAAAGCAGCATCGCTGCACATACTTGTTGTTCAAGGGAAATACCCTACTGCCGTCACACCCCTCTACAGTCATCAGCATGACTTCTACCTCAGACCTTAAGTTGCTTCTTTTAATTTTACCGTTCTATCGATCTCCTTAGCATAGTAGGTCCTTAACGAACATATGTCCCAGGCGGTATAGCTCTGTTTGTCCGATCACGTTAGACAAGTCTGACCACTACGTCTATGTAGCAGCATCGAAATATAATTATCTCAATCATTTCGTCTCTGATTGTATAATGTAGTAGCAACTTGAGTCAGAAGGCATTCGTACGAGTTTCTGTGTCAAAGGTCTGACTGACATGAATGTCACTCGTTTTTTATTCGTTTTATTTTTCATATCTTAATTGCATTGAACTATTGGGTCTTTTGATTTATTTGACTTTATAGGCTTTTGATTGTTTATAGTGACATGCACTATTGTTTTGAAATGAGGGTTTTCCAAACCCCCTAGACGGATTGGAAAAAATTAATACATATATAAACGTAATTAACTAAACATTTGAACATATAAGCTGTTTTAACGATGAGCACATATTATCTCTAAATTATTGGAAGTAGTAAACGATATTTGGCCTCTTCAACTATTATCGATACTATTAATATTTCAACTCCTTTTCTGTTCATTTTATTGATTGCACTATCATGCTCTGATTTAGTGCAAGAAAATTTACCAACGCCATCTTATGACCCACCCTACGTTGATTGTAACTAAATTTTCGGATGTACCGCTGTTGATTGACATTATTGATGTAGATCTGGACTGGCTTAGCTTTGTTCCTCCTGTTTAATACACTTCATTGTAGAATTAATACTCGTTGTTTGCAGATGCGATTACATTGCTTACTACTCTGAAAGAAAATTGGCATCCTCAGAAATTTGTAACTAAACATTTGACTATGGAAAGAAAATAATGAAGTCATAACTGTGATTAAAACGTCCATGTGTGTAGGCCCACAGTTTAGAGGTAATGCACCCAGTGAAATTCTAATACTAACGTTGCAAAGAACCATCCAAAGAACCGTTGATGCAGGTAAACTACAATTAATGCTTTCCACACATCTGATAGTCTCTCCAAGAATAAAAGATAAATTACCTAGACTAACGGCTTGTTTCTGTGTTTATCAAGTTAACTACTCTTGGGTAGCAAGTTACATCGGCAGGCGTTCTATTAATTTTGTATTTCCGTGCTTACAAGCACCTCCCAGTGTGGTGGGTGAAACAGGGGTGTAGTTAAAGCTAATAACACATCGATTCTATCTCCTTTAGTACAAACGCGTCATACAGCAGTCGTGGAGCGATATCATGTTAACAACAATTTACCGAAATCTACCAGTCTAAGAGTCCTTCAGACGGTTGAATCAATATCTGTTTAGATCAAAAAGCCGGATTTGTAATTACATTATTATCTTCTCTCACCCAATGTTCATTGACATCACAATTTCATTTTACGTATAAACTTATTATTCAGTTGAACACTTCATGTTAGTTGTCTTAACATAAACGGTTTATATTACAAACCATTCTAAATTCATATGCTTTAATAACGATGTATTTTTCTTTAAATCTGATCATTGTTTCAATTATTAATTTAGATATATAATTGTAGAACCTTGAAGTGAATTAATTAAAAAGAATATATTCCTTGTTCCTATATTTGTGTTGTAATATGATGGCAATTTTTTGGCGACTGATTGTATTCAACTGTTAGTAGCAATTATTTTACATTATTTTTAGTCTAATTGTTATCCATTGTAGTCCACTTTCTTATTTTCCCCTTTTTTTTTACCATAGAAATCAAATTTGGAGACACGTACATGAGTTACTTCCTAATTTTCGTGTGACTTTATTTCTAATTTGTGTAAACGATCTCAAACAATCAATAGTCCATTCGAATTCAACCAATCAACGAATGTCTTTCATACCAAACACCACTACTCAAGAACTTGATGATCAGTTACCAGCATCATCATCATCATTATCATCATCATCTTGCCCTGTCACTTCCACATCTTTCTCGTCGACTTCTTCATCATTTTCACCGCAAATACCAGTGCAAAGTCGACAGGAAAATGAACATGAACAACACTTAGACCAGTATCATCATCCATATGGTGAACAGAATCAAATTTATCAATTACTTTCAACCAAACTTTTGCCTTCTGCTTTGCCTTTAAATTCAATTTATATATACTATTGTAAACCAGATCCATTGTCTTATCTTATACAATATTTAATGGATACATTTGCTATGAGTTTAGAGCATTTCTATCTAATTGATACCTTCAATACAATATCTGTGATGTCAAATAATTCTCATGGTATTTTACATAATATTTCTCATCATACTAAAGATTCGAACACTACTATTCATGGTAATAATAATAATAATAATAATAATAATGATAATAATAATAATAATAACAGCAATATCATCCGATTTATTGCTAATACACCAACAACAATAATATCTCATGATACAGTTATTGATTATGATAATTATGATTGTGTTGACTCTGATTATCAATCTATGTTTAGTTCTTATTCATCATATCATTCATTATTATTGGATAGTACAAGTGATTTTGATATAATGAGCTGTGATTCCTCCTATGATCCATTTGATTATGAAGATAATCATTGTAGTAATAATAATTATTACTCAGGTAATTTATTACTGCCTGTTTCAACCAATCTATCTCTAGCCTCCTCCTCTTCATCATCGTCATCATCCTCTTCATCTTTACCGGTACCACCAGGGTTGTCGTCGTCGTCGTCATGTCTATCAGAAAATCAACAACAACAACAACAACAATCATCGGTGGCACCAATAATATCATTGCATAAAATGATTGGACAGTCTGATTACTGTCCTAATTCCGAGATAATCATATCATCAAAAAGTGATAATACGAATTCCAGCATAATAAATTGCATTGCAAATGAAGAAACTGTTGTGAACAAGGGTCGAGGTGATGCAAATTGTGTATTTCATCCATCGGTTATTTCCATGCGTAATAATGTGAATACAACTAAAATCAATATGAATGATCATTGTGATTATTATTTATCGTACGATCATGATAATTATTATTCCAGGTTTCCTGAGGGTCCACAATCATCATCAAATCATGTTTTTTATTCACCAAATTTATATAAAGCGCCTGATGATGTCAATCCTGATCCGTTTGTTATGCTGGCATGGAGATGTCAACAGTTGAAGCATTTTACACTTATCGGTAGGTAATTCATTTTCTTGCTTCAAATAATGTGTAAAATTTATTATTGTTATTAGTTAAATAGTCCAACTTTATAAACTGAATGAATCTTAATATCTAGTGTTGATGAAACGGAGTTTTGCGCGAACGCCTAACCATCGGACCACTGGGCCCGGCATCCAACGGTGTTAATGTCTAACTCTGATTGATCTACGGGTTTTGCGCGATCTCACCCTTTCGGGTGTAGTCAGTAACTACCTCTGAGATCAGAATGTTCACAGTTTCATGTCAAATCATCTGTGCTTTCAAGGGATAGCTCTCACCTATTTGTGAACCACGTTAACAGTGTTGAAGCCCACTAGTATGTTAGGGAATAACAACGGTAATTCAGTTGTTATCATCGTTGATTGTTCTGAATTAGTATACGCAAACCTTATAGTTCTGTTTGGTGAGTATGCAGACAAAATCCAGAGTCTTTTGATTGCATTGAGAAAAAAGCTTGCATGTTTAGGATCCGATTCTTTTCACTTTAATGCATAATGTTACCTTAAGACTGATGCGTATCAATGCATAAACTAGTGATAGAGAGTGAAGTAGTTGAGTGTATCAACCACTTATCTTAGGAGTTTTGTCAGCCCTGGTGAGTTGGTGTCTGTTGGAATCTCGGGATGAATCCAGAAGACTCGGTTAACTTCAGCCAACTTGTGTTGCCTGTGTGATAGGAGAGATGTTTGTCTTCCAACCAGAGTATGAGTACACTGTATAGCAGTTCGCTCCATTCTTCTTCATGACTGTGAAACGTGGCATTTTCTAGTGGAGTATATTCATAAGTCACTTGTATCCGGTTATAGGTGTTTCCGAAAAATTGCTCGTGTATGTTATGACCAGTGAATTAGGATACTGAGGTTAAACTCAGGGTTATAGGTAAGGAATCGTAGATCGATTGATGAGGTAGTGAATATTAATTGAACAGTGTCCATCAATAAATATTCTTCTATACTTATTTTATGCATGTAGATTATATGACTTCTCTCTACATGTTCGGTTTCTTTTCATTTATTTCAACATCGTACTTCGAGTGGTAGCGTTTTTTGGAATCTTATTGTGTCGAAAAATGTTTATCTTGTGAACAAATAAAGTAGTCAAGTACTCAAGTATTATTCATGTTAAAACTCAACATCATATCCATTACTGTAATTAAAAAACAGGTCTTGTGTGCGAACACCTATTTATCTAATGTAACTGTAATAATACTTGTGACCTTAGCCTGCCACATGGTTCTGTAGTAGTTAGGTGTGTAGGAATATTTTTTTTGAGATTATTTAACGGAATTGATGCACCAGGATATAACATGGAGACTGCACATCCGTGATTTCGATTTACAGGCAGAGGACTATCCTATTTACTAACTGTGATAATCTGCTACGCAGACACTGATTGATTGGCAAGAGGAGACGACTAATAGACGGCGCCGATTCTGACTCGAGTTCTATACTACCAAGTGTATGAATAATTGTACTGTAACACACAAATTGGAAAATATAGTTTATTCCTAAAAGGTAGTTTATGACACAAAAATAATAAGATACAAGTTCGCGTTTAAATTACAACAAATTTGAAATGGAACATGTGGTGACAATATCCGATAGATTAAATGAAAGTTTATTTTTAAGAGAATAAGGCATTATATCAATAAGTAAGAACTAGTTTAGTGTAGGAATAGGCTTGAAGAAAGCTAGGGGCGGCCAAACCAAAACATGGCAGAAATCCATGAAGTCATCGACGAGAGGACTTAGTCATGCCGGTAGTTGTCGACTACCTGGTTGGGGTCCGCGAAATGATAATAATCGATGGTTAGAGACCCTGAATGATATGGCTCAAAATCGTTTGCAATGGTGCCGGTGCATTTATTCTTTGTGTTCTCTCAAATCCTAATCTTCTGAATTATTCATCACCTCTAGTTTTGACTTTCTAAACTTTTCTCATTGAATCATGCATCTTGAATAATATCTTCTAATCCTAACCTCTCAGATTACTTCTAATACCTTTACTACCTCTACTACTATTGGATTTGAATTGACAATTACAACATCTCTGTGCTGATGTGGTATGGCAACATGAACTGATGTACTTACGTACGAAGTTCTAGTTGCATCTGAATAACTGACTGACTGAGTTTCTCAAAATGAAGCCGTCATTGTTTGTTATTATTTCATTCTTCTCTTCAAAAAAAAAAAACAGACACAAGTGACCACGAACTTGTAGGATTGTAGGATTAGCGTAATTCACTTCTTTTTTTCTTTTTTCTACGTTTTATTATTTTGATGATTCTAATATTCAATGTGACTTTTATTTTTATTTTTTTTTGTTTTGTTTTGTTTTATTTCAAGGTTACTGGTTTAATATTGTTGATATGAAAGCTTTCACAGCTCTACGTGGTACATCACTTAAATCTTTTTGTATTCCTAGTTGTTGTATTTCTATTGATGATCAATCTTGGCCGTTTAATTTAGATGAGAATTTAAATGAAGTAAGTTATTGAAATGTTTATAAATTAATAAGATCATGTTATGGGTATTTTTTTTTAATGAGTTTAGTTCTATATTTATTACAAGTGATTTATACTAAATATTAAATCAACATGAATCTTAATGCAGTAAGTCATTTGGTCAATCATACATAATATAAAAAAACCTAATGCATATTATATAGATTGATTCAAGTTACTGTACCACATTAACACAGTGCGATAAAATTACTACGTGATCAATTGCATAATAGTAGGAGTAGTAAAAGTATCAATGGTCGTACAAAGGATTACATTCAGAAGAGTAAAAATGGGTATAAAGAGATATCTGAATTTGAAGAAAGACAAAAAACTGAATCTTTTCAACTTACTACAACTTTCAACCGTGTAACAACATAGCATACACAACTTCCGATTAGTGACTATTATAAAACTGAATCACTTACAAGGGTATCAGTATTCAGGGGTATATATAAATCTTGTCAACTTGTGCATGAAAAGCTGCAACACCTCAATAAACTGGTCTAAGAAACTATAGATAATTGGTGACTAGTAGTTAGTTTATTCTAACTGTAATAGATATTTTTAGTTCAATAATTGCTTTGATGGTTAGATACCTTGAACGACATGGCTTAAAATCGTTTTGCAATGGCGTAGATGCATCGACTCGTTGTACTCTATGAAATTCTAATCTTCTGAATTCCTCATTGCCTTTATTTTTCTTTTCTCAAATCTACATCAGTGAATTATACTTCTTGATAAAAATCTTTGAACCCTATTTTCCACTACCGGCAATACTTCTACTATCTCTACCATTATGGGATTTAAATTGACGATTATATCCCTGTGTTAATGTGGTATGGCAACTTGAACTGATTGTTACGCGTCATTTGGATATACTTGAACTATTGCGAGTTTACCTAGTCGGAAAACGAGAGCTAGGATCGAGGATCCGGCCACACGACATGCTACTCAAACCCGATTATCCCAACCCCCATATTGAGTAAAAATAAGAAGACTTGATATGAAGTACAACCTGTATTCTACAAGCATCCAGAGAGTACGAGGTCCGAGTCCAGAAGAGGCTAAGGATCCCGGACTAGGGATCCGGATCTGGGTCCGGTCCATAAACTGTTACGGATGATGCGTATTTATACATTTAGGTTGAATAGGGAACAGCATCGAAGGCTGTGACATTGACAGTTAGGACGACCAATAGGAAACAACATTGGAGCACGTGACATTGACATCTAGGACGACCATAATATTGATCAGTAGGAACTAACCAATAGGAATTGACCAATAATTCTCTTAGGATATTGGATGAATATCCTAACATGATGTACGTGCGTACGTACGAAGTTCTACGTTGTAACTGGCTGACTGAATAATTGCTTTTTTTTATTCTACGCATAAATAGAAATTCGTAATAAATGAACACAAGTAGTAGTCGAAATTAGTAGTTTCAATCTTTCCTCCTGTTCTTCATATCATTATTATGCTAGGCATTGTGATCTTATTGTCTTACATTCAGTTGTTATTAATCGTCTGTCCTAATGACGGCCCGAACAAAACATGGCAGAAATCCATGAAGTCACTGACAAATGGACTGAGTCATGTTGGTAGATGTAGGCTGTCTGGTTGGGGTCCGCCAGACGAAAGTCACCAATGGTTAGAGATCTTGAACGACATGGCTCAAAATCGTTTGCAATGGCACAGGTGCATCCACTCTTTGTGTTCTCTCAAACTCTATTCTTCTGAATTCCTCATCATCTCTATCTTTCTCCTTCTAAATTTATCGTACTGAATTATACCTCTCGAATCATATATTCGCTCCCTAATCTTCTCCATTACTGCTAATACTTCTATTATCGCTATCACTCTTGGATTTGAACTGACAGTTGCATCTCTGTACTAATGTGGTATGGCAACCTGAACTGGTGTACTTATGTACGAAGTTGTGCGTTGTATCTGTCTGTGTCTGTCTTAATGATATTTTCACTATCATTATCGTATTATTTCTCTCTTGTGTTCTTATATAACTGAAATTATTATTTGTTTCATAAACATTTTGAAGAATGACGATTAAGCCCAAACTATTATAATATTACTTAAAACTTTTGTTTTCATCATTTTCATTATAACAGTAAAGAGACTGACGAAGGTCATCTAGTAAGATTTGTTTACTCTATCTCTCTCTCGCTCTCTCTATCTATCTATAGACTGTGACCTAATGTTTATAGTGTACTGTATTGGCTAATGATATCAGCTAATTCATATATGTGTCTGGGTTAGGTAGATTTTTTTTTTCAAATCGATGACTTTTTAGTAATTCAAAGTTAATCATTTTTCAAAGTAATCCCCTTACGAATAATAATAAGTTAGATTAAACAAGAAATTCTTAAACAAATCAAATACAAGAGTGTATAACTTATGGTGGCCAGTGTCTCATTAGTTTTGTGACGGTCGATATCCGATGTGTTCTTAGACTTCGTCAAACTGAATAGCGCCTCACGGTTTATAAATTAGAAGGAGAATACAAAGTGTTGAATGCATTTATTTGGCGCAGCACAATTAGACCATCCAAACCAACAGGCTCACAAAGACAAAATCGATATGCAAGTGCCGAAATGTGAATGAATTGATAAAATTAAAATGTACATAGGAAAATAGCTGAGTCATTGAAATATTTATAAAGCGAATAGGATGAATATGCGCGTAGACAATAGGCAATGTTCAGTTGTACCAGCCCATACAAACCAAACAATTAATAAAAGCCAATTGTACATATAAGTTGTTGCTATTACCAATGGCTTGGTTAAGTAATTTAATCAAAAGGTTTAACCAAATAAAATATTAACAAGGTCAATTGTATGTAGAGGTACTACATACTCTTTTGAATGAATACATCGTTTTGAGTGATAATAACTAAATGAGTAGTTATGACTGACGAGAAATTGGTTTAAGTCTTCAAATTAAAACAAGATTTATAACATTTGTGAACTAGCTCAAGCTACTTCTTCAATGAATAGAGAAAATTAATAAATTAAATTAACACAAGTTTAATTAATGAAAAGGATTAGTACTGTAGTTCTACTATGCTGTCATGGCACAGTAAAAGAACTTTAACGAATCCGTAGATCACACAGGATGAACGGATTCTATTAGCAAACAAACACTTCAAAATGCTTTAATTCAAATAAAAAATAAAACCGTTATCACTTTGACACAGAATTATGTTTATAGAATTTTTAGATGGTAATGCATTGTATATTAGAGAGTTCTCGTGTGAACTCATAACTCATGCCAAAGAACATCTAAGCCGCAATATAAAAGACCTCCAAATAATCCTGTAAAATCCGGAAGCCTTCATATCTAATCAACAACAGCAGTTAATGATGTCCTTAACAACCATAAATCGAAACTAGTTGCATCCAAACTATTCGAAAATCGTTGCTAGTTATATTAATTTATTTAAACACAAAAAACATTCGTACAAAAAGGCACCTAAATATTTATGCACCATACAAGTCAATAAATTTGTGTGTTACCATACTGACAGGGTGCCCAATCAGAAATATATGGTTTTCTTAAGGAGCTGTTCTTGGAGGCCTCAACGAATAGGTCTAATCCACAAGGCAGTAGAGCAACGTTAAGAGATTCAGTTCCAAGGTAGCCGGTGGCCAACAGTAGGTTGATAGGTCATTTATTCCATCAAGACCCTGGAGCCTATGTGTACCATTGGTTTGGAATGGGATATTAAGTAAAATTTGGGAACTGGACATAATCCCATCTGACTGGTCTCAATTACTGATTGATCCAATCTCTAAGAAAAGACAGCAGTCCTACAATCACAGAGGGATCAGTTTAACTAATATAGTGTCTAAAATGATGATTATTTCATGAGATGGATTTCACAGATATTCTTTCAAATTTTAAATGGTTAACCTGTAAAATGTTTCATACTTGTTTGGGACTAGTCATCCACTTACCTGCCTCTACGGAATCGAACCTAAGGTGTTTTAATCTGGTGGAAACCGCAAGACTGTTCTACTATTGATTTGATAAAATTCAACTATTCACGTTTCTCAGTGAGTTTTCAGACTTTATATTCCAATATTATGTTTTATCTAAGAGAAATTGAGGCATCTACTCAAAGGCAACGTTTCTTATTATATCATTGCTTAGTTGAAATTAACAAACATGTACTGTTGAATTTTGACTCGATGGTTGAATGTTTTCGTAATCAATGATAAGATTTATAGGTGATAGAAATGAGTTACAAGAACTCAAAATCCTACGGAGTATATTACTCCAAATTGAACGTTTATGTAATTATTTTTCATTACTGAAATCATGAATTAGTCATTGTTAGACCACCATTGGAAACTTGGAAGCCCTGGACGGCCGTTTCGTCCTGGTATGGGAATCATCATCAGTGCGCATCCACAACTCCTGCTACTCTCAGGATTCGAACGTGGGGCATTCGGCCTTGCGTGCGAACGCCTAACCAACGGTGTCAATGTCTAACTCTGATCAATCCAGAGATTTTTCGGGCGACCTCACCCACTTGTCTTTGGTAGTTACCGCCTACACCCGGCAGCGTCCAATTCCAATAATCACGGCTCCTCACTAGAACTTCGAGAATTTCCTCACAAAACTAGTCACCAGTGGGCACAATGTACGGTTCTTCAATTAGAGTTATGGAGATTGTTGTTTATTACTGAATTCATGAATCAGTCAATATTAGACCACCATTAGGAACGTGGAATCACTGGACGGCCTTTTCGTCTTGGTGTGGTGTGTGTGTAGAGCGCTAAAAGCTTTCCAATCGCTTTGAAATAGTACTTTTAAAGCATATTGGCTTTTTCAGGCTACGCCAGTTTTAACTATGTGGATCTTTTAACTAAATAAATTGCTGTCTGAATTGTTATTCATTGTTAAGCTTTCATATAGTGTGACAAGCGAATGATAAGTCGTTAATCAGAATAGATCTTTTTTGT